TTTTCATTGGTGCCGAAACCATCTTTTACGCAACAAAAACGAGTTATTTCACACAACATGAATAATTCAGATTCAGCAGATGATTATCAATCAATGCCGCCGTCAAATGAACCAATTCTCAACGTACAAAAGGGACGCTTGCAGAGACTGAAAAAATTTGCTGATACGTTCGTTAAAAGCTCGGACAACAATATCTACCATTTAAGAAAGCAACTTCAAATTCTTGATTCAGATTACACAAAATTCATTGAAACTCACGAAGAAATCACAGCAAATATTCCAGAAGAAGATTATGAATCGTACACTTATTTTTCCGAAGCAGTACAAGAGGAATACGAGAATCTTTTCATGCGAGTATACTCAACTGTACAAGCTACTATTGACGATCGCTCCGAAACAACTGAAGTCATTGTAGGTGCTCCAAAGAAGAATTCCAATCCACCGATAAAATTACCTCCTCTGAAGCTACCAAAGTTTTCGGGAAAGTACATAAATTGGAACTCCTTCAAAGATCAGTTCAACGCACTGATTCACAGCAATGGAAATCTTCCGCCAGTTTCCAAAATGCAATATTTGTTTGACTGTTTGGAAGGACCAGCATTTGACAAAGTCAAACATTTACCAATCATCAACGCCAACTACGATACTGCTCGAGAGCTGCTTGAAGAACAGTATGAAAACAAAAGAGCTATGTTCATAGACACAATGAATCAGCTATTGAGCTTCCAACGTGGCAAGCATGAATCAGTTGCAGAACTACAAAAACTCGCCACCATCGTGAATGACACAATTCAGGGGCTGAAGCATATTGAAATTGATGTCTCAGCAGTCGATCCAATAATAGCTTACCTCGCAATTGAAAAACTGACTCCAGAGACTAGGAAAGAATTTGAAAAATCTGCTGTTCAAAAGAAAGAGCTTCCAACGGTAAGCGATGTTACTCAACGAATCCAACAAAGTTTGCGAACCTTGGAGCTTTTGACATCAGAAGAAAAATCGAACACAACAAATCCAAGTAAGCCATTCAATTCTGATACGAAAAAATCAGTGAAATCATTTCATTCAAAAGCAAAGTCGACTTCGTCTATCAACACTGAAAGCCGTTCTTCATCACCAAAACCAACCAAAGCCAGCAAATGTGTTTTGTGTTCTCTTGGTCACTTAATCTACTCTTGCCCAAACTTTTTGGCTAAATCCGTTCAAGAAAGGTCCACAGATGTGATACGCTTAAAACTTTGCTTTAATTGCCTATCAGAAACACATTCAAAATCAAAATGTTTAAGCAAGCGAAATTGTGTTCAATGCGGTGGTCGTCATCACACACTGCTTCATTCATCAGAACAGAGAACTACAGCCGCATCGAATGCTGTATCTACACCGTCGAACGAGCCCAACACTTCACAAAATTCGCAAAACACAAAAATCTTGTCATCGAAAATTAATATC